TCCCTGCCGAGGGGGTCCCACGGTACTGGCCATGGGCTCGGAGCCCCAAGGTCCCTGGCTGCCCCTGGACTGCTGTGTTTCTTCAGGAGATGTTCTCCACCGCGGTGGCAGAGCTTCCCCCAGGTCTGGTGCCCTGTGACACAGCCAGCTGGCTCGTGACGATGGGCAGCTTTGCACAGTTTGTTTCATATTTCTGCCGTCCCCATTGTCTGGGGTTTTGGCACCCAGCACAACCAGGATCGTTAGACTGATGGAAGCTGCTTCTCTTACGACTTTGTGGAGTGGCTTTGCTTTTTTGAGTCCTAATGGACCCTCTGCAAATAAACAGGACAGGAGCCTGTGACTGGGAGGACAGGAGCCTGTGACTGGGGTGGGTGCGGTGCTGCTGGGGCTCAGCTCTGCCGCTGTTCGGGTCTGGGTGTCGCGCCCCAGGGCTGGAACACGCCGTGTTTGGTCACTGCCGCGTGGCAGTTTGAACACCCTGGCCTTGAACTTGCCATCCCTGTGTGTCCTGTCGTTTCAGTGTCTTTCCAAGGGAGCTCAAAGAAGTTTTTGCTTCGTGGAGACAAGAATGCAGCAACCGAGGCCGCCCGGACATCAGCGAGCGGCTGATCAGTGCCTCCCTGTTCCTGCGCTTCCTCTGTCCCGCCATCATGTCCCCGTCCCTCTTCAGCCTCCTGCAGGAGTACCCGGACGACCGCACTGCCCGCACCTTGACCCTCATCGCCAAGGTCACCCAGAACCTCGCCAACTTTGCCAAGTAAGCGGGGCTGTGGGAGGGGAGGGGGCAGGAGCTGCGGGGGTGCCTCGGCAGCCCCGCGCTGGCTGCTCCTTTCCTCGGGGGACAGCGCCTGTTTGCTTCCTGGTGGCTTTTCCCCCACGTCTCTCTGGGACCCATCCCTCGCTGCTAGGTCAGGAGATCATTTAAGTTTCCAAAACAGGACGTGGTTTATGAGCAGGAAAGCAGGCGGGACGGCGGCAGGAAAGCACCGGCGATGCCCGGCGCCGGCACAGCAGGACCAGAACCCCGCCAGCAGCACCAGTGTGCATGGCTCGGTGGCTGGTCTTTCCCTCTTGTGAGCTCCAGGACCCTTCCTGCTGTTAAAATGCATTTGTCTGCACTGGGAAGGTATGAGAAGAGAACGGGGATGCTGTCGGTTTCTAACTGAGCCCATAGGTTTGCTGGAAACAAAGAAAGGGATTTCTGAAAGTCTTTCTACTGTCTGCAGCTCTGAGCTCCTTATCCTGAGCTCTGATAACAAAATGATGAGCTTTCCAAAACGTGAATGGACAGTTTCTGTCTAAAGCTTCTTAGATTTGGAAACTGGCTTAGTACACCCGCTTGCAGCCGGGAATGCGCGCACACGCGTGCCGCCGGAGACGGGAGACGTACGAGTGTGTTACACTAGGTGACAGAAATTCTCTATATTCCTGACCCATCCCTCACTAAAGGGTTTGCAGATTTTCTGCACTTTGCAGGAAAGGCTCTTTAACTAAGCTGACATTAGCCAAGCCCAAGTGATGGAGCCGAGCTGCCCTGCAGACGGCACACAGCCGAGCCGAGCCGAACCGCTGCCACCGGCACAGCG